GAATGCTCCCCTCCGGCCCTGCCGGACTCCGGCTCCTGCCCCCGGCGTCGGCTCGGCCCCGGGGTGGGTGAGAGGGGTGACAGTGAGGTGCTCAGCAGGACCAAAGCTGATGCAGGGCAGGGATGCTGGGCTGCATCTTTTCCCCGCAGAGCCAGCACCGTTGGTGGCAGGGGAGCAAGCCGGGGCGCTGGCAGGACACCGCCCTCCCCAGCCGCCACCCATGGCCCCTCTGCCTTGCTGAGGCACCGGCCTGGGCTGAGGATCTGGCCATGGCTCAGGCATCCCACCGTGCCACTGTGCCACCCCTGGTCGGACACCTCCTTTCCTCACACCCCTTCCCATTATTATTAATTTTTTTTAATGCTGCAGATTTAAACAAAATTGGACCGAAAAGCTCTAGTTTTGTAGGGAGTACTTGGGACGGATATTTTTAGCTGCGTCGGGGCACAACGCTCATTGTGCTGGTAGATGCACTGGCACTGAGGAGATGGTTGTATCGTGAGTAAAGAGATAAGCTGAACAGCTGCCGTATGCTGGAGTCCGGCACTGCAGGGGCCCTGCCCACCATGCTGCTCATTAGCGGTGCTGCTTGTTAGCTGGGGCTGCAGAGCTTCTGCTGGGAAGGAGCTTTCTGAGCGACACGGGAGCAGCATCCCAGGCACCCTCCTGCCCTCTTCCCCGGAGCTGCTGTGTACAAGGCTGGGGCTGGACCCAGGCGTGGGTGACCAGATCCTGCCCCGGCTGTGAGCTGGGACCAGCTCTCAGCCACGCCACATCTTGGGCTCATCAAGGGGCATCTGCTCGGCTGTCCCTTGGGGGCTGTGCCCACCACCCCCCTGCTCTGATTGCTCCCCAGCAGTGCCGGCCCAGCCACATGTTGGTGGCACAAAGCTGCTGTAATGGTGCTGGCGGGAGGGTGGGTGACAGCAGGACCCTCACAGCCCCTGGGCCGGGCTGGTGAGAGGAGGGGGCTGGCTAGGAGCCCTGGGGTCCTCGCGGCAGGGGTTGCCACAAAGCCCCATTCACCCCTTGCTGGCGGTTCCTGCCAGGTGGGATCAGAGTGGCGGTGATGAGGTGTCACACCCCCAGGGGTCCCCATCGTGGGTCTGCAGTCCCATGGGGAACCCTACCAGCCCAGTGGGGCTCAGGGCATTGCCAGCACCACTGGCACCTTTACGGTCACAGCCCCTGCAAAGATGGCTGAGCCCACAGTGGCTTTGAGGTGCTGAAGCGCGGCTGGGACAGTGAGAGACAGGGGCTCAGCCTAGGGCGAGTGGTTGTCCTGGGGTGCCCCGGTGTGCCCTGGGTCCCTGGGGACCAGAACGAGATGTTTCCCCAGAAAAATCTTCCCACTTCAGACCTGACAACAGCCACAAACCAGGGCCTTGCTGGGGTAGCCCCATCCCCACTGTGTCCCCATGCCCTGCACAGCCCTGCCACCAGCCACAAACCAGGGCCTTGCTGGGGTAGCCCCATCCCCACTGTGTCCCCATGCCCTGCACAGTGTCAGCACCCCCAGCTGCATTGCCCCCACTCCATGGGGGTCTCACCCCAATCCAGCAGGCCTGAGGCCAGACTGACATCCCCACAGCCCCAGGGTCAGGCAGGACCAGCCGGGATGCCACCAGGCCAGGCGAAGCACTGACCCCGGTGAGACCCTTCTCCTTGTCCTCCGTCCC